AATATATTGTTTGGTACCAGATATGTTCGTACCCCATGGTATCTCACAGCATTCTCTTTGAGAAGCTGTACTCTTGTGGAATTCGCAACCCATTACTGAACTGGTTAAAATCATTTCTAAGCAACAGGGTACAAATAACCAAAGTTGGATCTGTATTGTCTCATCCTAGGCAGATCTCAAGTGGGGTCGTGCAAGGTAGTGTCCTAGGTTCACTTTTATTCACAGTCTACATTAACAGCATTTGCAAGTGCTTCACCTTAGGCAAACCATTCCTATATGCTGACGACCTCAAAGTCGTCTACTCCTGCTACACTCATGAATTAAGCGATATGGTTACTAAAATACATCTTGAACTAAGTAGCCTTGCAACGTGGTGTGCTGAATCCTGTCTAAACTTTAACATTGACAAAAGCGGCTGGATTTGTATCGGCAATAGTAACCTTGATCTAACTCTTGAAATAAATGGGCGAAAACTAGCTAAGCTCAACTCAGTCGTAGATCTCGGTATTAGATACTCTAGTAACCTAACGTTCTCTGAACAGACTGATTATGCCAGACGTAAAACACGAAGGCTGATAGGATGCATAACACGCAATTTCTTTTGTTGTGAAACTAGGGTTTTATTATACAAAGTATGTGTCCGACCTATCTTAGAATACTGCCCGTTTATTCTTAGCGGACTCAGAAAAAATGACAAGCTTAAATTAGAGGGAGTGCAACGGCAGTTTACCTCAAGAACTCTTGGTTTAGAAAGTGGTTTGGAATACCATGAGCGATGCGAAAGACTAAGATTAGAACCCCTCTGGAAAAGACGCCTTAAGCTAAACCTTATCTTTTACTGTAAGCTAACTAATCTTCTCTTGCATTCCTCCGAGCCAATAACTAAACCTACCGCTGTCATCAGTTACAATCTTAGAAATCATCACAACCTAGCTGCTATGGAGCACTGTCAGACTTACGTGCGGTACAACTTCTTCTTAAATAAGTTTTCAGTCATTTGGAATAGACTACCAGCTAATGTGCGCGATGCAAACACACTTCCAGTGTTCATCTCCTCAGTCACCAGACTGCTCAAAGATGACAATGCACTTTTGCGCCTGACTCTTACACCTTCTTTTTCACCCTACATAGATATTTTAAGTTCTTTAAACGTGTAGTTACAATAAACTACAATTATAAATTTTAATATTATTGGAACTAGATGATTAACATTTCTACACAGGACAGTAATATTAGTTCACACATAATATAAAAGTTAGCATAACGGGACTAGTTAGTTTGTGTACCAAAATAACCACAGTTACTAAACAGAATATATATGTATATATTTATTAATCACTCCTTAAGGACTCCCGTTGCTTTCTTTTGCGTTGCTGTTGTTTGTCTTCTTTTTTCTCTCACCATTTCAGCTTCCATTTGACTTTTTGAATGAGAATGAATAATGTGGATATTTGACCATTTACAATGACAAATGATCTGCAAACATTATTGGTCCAGTATCTTTCAGTTGCCTGGTTAATAACGAATTAACTTTCCCCACGACGCAACCTGGATTACATTTGTGGAATATACTCTTATACCAATGGAAAAGTATCTATTTGTAATACAACGTCACGATTGTAGCTTATAACATAACTGATCGTATCTGTAAAAATAGCTTCCTTATTACCCAATTTGGATATAAATCAAATCAAAAATAAGATTCGGATTTGTACACACCCAAGTTATATTGTGGAATAACTTCAAGCTTTACTTTTTCCCAAGTATTTTTAATCCATCCAAAACTTACTTGAGTTTTTTTATTAATGCGAAGTTAATATTCCTATATTTCATGACGTGCTCCATTGAATGACTGGTTATCATATTGTTCCCACAGACCTAAGACAAAAACGCCAGCAACCATGTAACTTAACCATAAACCAAATTTATGAAATTTATATAATGCTTATCCATGCCTGTATATTTTGTGTGTCCTACACAAGTAGGAAAAAATGTGTATTTTATTAAAACATTATTATTAATTATGATTGCGCGTTCTATGTTGCGGGTTTATCATATTTATCATATTGATGATGCCTGTAAACTGGCGTCTCTCATGTACAAAATGAGAATATACTATTATTATTATTATCTTATAAATTAACTTGCTATCCATTGTCAGATCTTTAAATACTACTTCACAATATCTTGTCTCACTTATTTTCGAATAACGTCTTTACTTGATCCTCATTATATTCCATTAAACCTAACATTTTATAGCTCTTTATGAATTTGATTCGACTTATTCTATTCCTATTCTCTGTGAGGTACGGTTGTGCACTAAATGCACAAAAAGGTATAAAACAAAAACAACTGGCACAACTGAGGATAAATGTATTAAAACCAAAAGTGGACATCATGATACTACCAGATATACGCGTAGCATTATACATTGCAAATGAACGTTGTCAGCCTAGGGAGTTTTCTTTATTAATGCATTTTTAATGATACTTGCAATTACCTATTTCATTACAATTTAATGATTCACCTCAGCACTTTTACTTTTCTAAAACAGCTTTCAATCCCTTGTAAACGTTGTACTTACCTCAATATTGGTTGGTTATCGTATGCCGACAACCACGGGATGAAAACGAAACGAAGTCGATTTTCCCGCTCAACCTGGAGGACAACTGTACAATTCAATAACTATACAGCCTAGTTCAGACAATGTGTATTTATATATATATCAAATATTTAACTGTTGAAACATTATTAACTTGTAGACAATTTAAGATTTGACATTATATCATCCTTGATCGTGCCTGTAAAAATGGCATGAATTTTCATGTAAATTTATATGTTTATATGAGAATATACATTATTATTATTATTATTGTAACATAACATAACTGATCGTATCTGTAAAAATAGCTTCCTTATTACCCAATTTGGATATAAATCAAAAATGAGATTCGGACTTGTACACCTAAGTTGTATGATGGGATTACTTCAAGCTTTATTTTTTCCCAAGTATTTTTAATCCATCCAAAACATACTTGGGTTTTTTTGTTGATCCGAAGACAATATTTCTATATTTCATGATGTGCTCCATTGAATGACTGGTTATCATATTGTTTCCATAAACCAAAGACAAAAACGTCAGCAACCATGTAATTTAACCATAAACCGAATTTATGGAATTTAGATAATGTTTATCCATGCCTGTACATTTGGTGTGTCCTACACAGGTAGGAAAAAATATGTATTTTATTAAAACATTATTATTGAGTATGATTGCTAACTGTATATGTAATTTATCATATCTAATTTATCACATTGATGATGCCTGTAAACTGGCGTCCCTCATGTACAAAATGAGAATATACTATTATTATTATCATACTGGGGGGCGAAACCCGTAGAGAGTGGTGAGCATTTGTAGTATGTTTGAGGTCATGTTGTGAACCTGAATAAAAAATGACAATGTCATTCCAGCAAAACTGCTGGCCGCTGTATGGTCAGCCCCGTTGGGTGTGGGCATGTGAATTGGTGGAGGTGGCCTACCAAGCAAGTTAAACTGATTAGAATTGTTGCGATTTACGTCACCACGATTCGACGCCCTATAGTTAGGTGTATCAATCTTTTGGTTTATAGTGGTGCAAGGGCTCACCTTTTCGGACAGGTAGCTATGAGGTACGGGTTCTGTTTCGCGGATTTTATACCTGTCAGTTTTGCGAATATTTGTTTCTGGAGAGAGGTGTGTTATCAAGCTGTGAGCATCTGAATTAGTGTGTGGCATTAGTCTCTTATTCTGCATTGTCTTTGTGGACGAACTGGTAACCACATTCTTCAACTTCCTGGAATTGAGACTACATGGATTGGTGGATACTGGGCGTGATGTTCTGCACTTTGTCACTGGGGAACAGGGATCGTTAGAAGCTAACGGACGGCACAAAATCTTTCAGCAGCAAGTGCGAGTCACTGCACTGACTTGAGTAGTATCAGAGTGTTGTGTGTTCATGTAGCAGATGACTCAACATGTAGCGAGAGGACGTTAGAACAGTAATCGAAAAGTCTGGGAAAGCGATGAAAATCACCCCTTCTTAAGATTTGGAAATTTCGTTCAGCTGCCATACGTTAAGGGTCAGCTTGGCATTCATGAAGAACAGGGAAGCTAGTGCATATATGCATTTAAACCTTCTGAGGAAACCGGACAGTTGAGGCTGAGATGAGCATTTTTTGTTTGTTATCCACTTTATAAGCAGAGCATGTGTAACAACTTCAATACTGACCATAAATGTGTGATCCTGTTGTGGTGTATGCTTTCAGTAGAGATCACCTGCATGGCGCTTCGCACTTTGATGGAGATTTTATGAGTAATCCTAGATTCTGCATGATATATAAACTTAAATTACTGATGGAAGATTGAAGCTGAGAGTGTAATGCTCAGATGTTAAAGGAACTGTGCAGTTTCTATCCAGCCCATTGATTCCCATACCCACGATTTATGATTAACTCAACTTGAATTTTGTATGTCAGATATTACCTGCATAATATACTCAAGAAAATGTAGTTAGGCTTCAAGTGAATTGAAACATTAGCTATCATCAAAGTGAAGATGATAATAAATAAAACCAAGACCTCATTAAGACCCATCGGTGACACTACAAACACTGAACTCGTCATTTAAAATGTGTAGGACACATAGTTTTGTTTAGTTGATAGACGTTCAAGGATACCGAAACAGCGGTCAACGCAAACATTCTATGTTACTTCGTGGAAGTCTGATTGATGTTGATTTTATATGACTTAAACATAGTTTATCAGACTTTATCAACATGCCCATAATGATTGAAAAGCCTGAAACCGATCTCCATATTAAAATCAAATTGGATATTTTATCTTATATACTGCGTCTTGTAAAAACAAATATTTCGTTATTTTGTGGTTCCTAGGTAATTTGAAAATATTTCAAAATTTCACTGTATGCAGTGATTCTCATATCGTTAATTTCTGCAGCGATGGTAGCGTATGTATTGTATGGATTTCGTGAGGTATGTTGTTTTTTCAGTAGTTTGTGATAAATTCGGTGCTGTTACAGCATATATATGATTCTTCACAAGCAACTAGAATTGTCAAGATCAATCGAGAACACCATACGCTAATGAAAGATGGGCGTCAGTTTCAGTATTTATCTGGTTCTATACACTATTTTCGTGTTCCCTTGATTTACTGGTCCGACAGGATAGAAAAGGCAAAATCTGCAGGCCTTGACGCCATTCAGTTGTAAGTAATGCTCCGATATATATATATTCTTTAACTTTTTATTTGTTAGTATTCATCATAAAGGTTGCGTAAGCCACTGGACATCGATGGTAGTGAATTGAAATATTGCTACCTTATACTCGATACTTCTGTTTTATTAATTTCTAGTAGTTTTCCTATATTCTCAAAAACTTGGACTTATTTGTGATAATTTCGTATAAAGGTTTCTTTAACGGATGATCACTCCAGATAAATATTTGTGGTGCTTTTTAGTGCTTAGCCCTTGTGTTATGTGCATGTTTACCATAGTATGTTAGTGTAGTAATTTCTGTGATGCGGAATGGATTTGAAAGAGATGGATGTTTCTTTGATAAATAGCTTCCAACTACAAACCAGTGAAAGCGGAAGACATCCGTAGATCTCAATGACTCTTAAGGTGAAGCAACATAATGCACAAAACACTATTTAATATTGTTACTTTTCTCTGGAATCTTTTACTGGTGGATGATGTTTTGGATTTCTCATTATGAACATCAGCATTATAAACTTTGAAAAGCATTACATCAGACTATGGTGAACAGGGAATCAGATATTCAATGCTGACATTTTCTTTTGCAGTACAGAAATCACTGGAAATCTGGAAGTACATAAAGGTATATCGAAGTACTTCTTCTTGGACTTCGGAGTGTTGGTGTCGACGAATAGACAACCACGTAGCCTAGTGTAAGGCCAGTCCCTACGGGTTAATTTTAAAACTTGCATGTGCAGGTGAATAATGAAGTCAAGAATCTTTGGGTCAGTTCGTCGAAGTGTACCCTCCGTTTTGTTACATGGAAATGATTTATTAGAAGTCCTCAGGGTATTTCATATGACAAGAAAATAGGCTTATCTTAAAATCAAAGAATCTTCAGTAGACTGTATGCTTCTAGTCGAATTGCAGTAATAAGATGGATGGAGATTATATTCTCAACACAATCTGAAATTTCCAGTAGCAAACCAGTGATAGGTAACTTACCAAGGTTAACTAATCATGTATGCGACCTTCAGAATTTAATACTTGTTTGTAGATGTATTCTGTAACTACCAAATACCAGTAAACCAAAGGAGAGTAGAGGGGTAGGACCGAAATTAGAAATTCGTATTCGACAGAATTATCGAGTTACGCGCCAGCAATTAGTACAGAGTGGCAGTAACGGAAGTTTAAGCAGTACGGCGATTATAAAGTCATCAATTGTCACAAAAGTTCAGCTGGTTTTATGAATTTTCGTCGGTTTAGATAGTAAAGATATGCATGATACGTAGTTGTAATTGTTCTACTTTCTCAACGAGTAGTGTCAGGCAAGAAAGGAACAGTGGAAAAAAGGCCCCGGATGATCTGATCAAGATATAATGCCATTATAAAACATTATAAAAACATTCACAAACTTCTGTTAAATTTTTCTCTTAGCTCTATCTAAATCTGTTCATTGCAGCAGCATCGGTACAGTCCTTTTCCTTACTACCTGCTTGTACTGATATATTTTTGTACAAGTTTGATATATTTCTTAATTGGAATAGTGTTTTAATTAAACTTATTGGAAGACGAATCGGTTGAGCAAAGAATACTTCTTTATGGTGAACTCCTCATGAGATTCTACAATTATGTATACATAATCCATGAAGAGTAACTATAAAATTGACAACATTATTGTCCTTATAATATTAGCCAATTATCAAGATTAATGCATTGCGATTCAGAAAAAGCAACAGGAAGACGTAATTTGTCTGAATTCTGCAATGTATCTGCGTAAAACGTTTCAGACTATCTGATGACCCACTGAATTGTCATTGGAGTATTTATGTGTGAAAATAATAAATAGTTAAGAGGTGAGAAAATAGACTCAGATTAACTTAAAAGGACATACTGAAGGTCAAAATAACAATAAAGATCACTAAACCAAACCACCCTGGCTAGCATCAACAAAAAGTTTACCCAGGAAGGTGGTTTAGTGAGATGGCGAATTGTTGCTTCGAAGGCATAAAGGTGGTCTTAATCTCCTAATCACACTACGGCTTCCATAAACTTTAGGATATGCTCCAGACACGTTTTATGATAGGTTTAAAGGATATGGAAACACCAGTTTTATATCCCATCCCTATAATATGTTTTGCAGTAGAGGAGCTAGGTCTCCTGTTCTCACTATAAGTGGATTCTAGGGATTTTATTTGCTTCTGAAGCCATACAGGAATATTCTCCGAAGCCAGTTGTCCAGAACTCCCAGTTGGTTTTTCAATGATTCTCCAAATGATATCAGCTTATGATGAAATCTTTCAACCAATCACATAGGTTTGAGTTTTTTAGTTTGACGTCAGCAGCTTCAGCTGTGTGAAGAAGACAAGCTCGCAGAGTAAAATTAAGGTGAGTTGAAGTGCGGTAAAGCTGATAAGGGAGTTATCTAGATAAATACTCTTTGCTCAGTTATTTTTGTCTTCTAAATGTTTAAATTGGAGTCTTCATCATGATGAAGTATAAATTCAACCGACTTGGGGATTCTATACCAATCTGTCTAACAGATTCTAGAACATAGACACACTTTTCGGCGTCCAACAATTGCCATATTTCTTTACTTGAAGGCGGCCTTTGACTCCGTGAATCGAAAGGTACTATGGCAATGTTTGACTGTGAAGGGAGTGCCCAGAAAGTACATTGCACTAATCAAGGCACTCTATTCAAACTCACGTAGTCGTGCAAGGGCTTATGGGGAATTGTCATCTGAATTGGTAACAACCAGTGGTGTCCGACAGGGATGTCCACTCTCCCCATTTCTATTTAACTTCATCATAGATATGCTGATGGAAGTATCCTTAACTGAACGCAACGACTTAGGAATCGACTTGTTACCAGGGAATAGTCTTACGGACTTAGAATATGCAGATGACATAGTCCTGTTAGGGGAGGATTCTGACAAAATGCAGAGTCTTCTGAACACCTTGAGCAGCAATCTCCGTATGTTTGGCATGCGATTCGCCCCTACAAAATGTAAGATGCTGCTACAGGACTGGACCACGTCAACTCCTGCCTGGCTTAGTGATAGGGAGTGAAGTGATAGAAGATGTTGACCACTTCACTTATTTGGAAAGTTGTATCAGCACCAACGGACTGATTGGCGACGAAATCTCAGCACGGATCCAAAGAGCTCGAACTGCTTTCGCTGACTCACACCATCTCTGGCGTAGGCGTGACATCCGGTTATCAACCAAGGGACGTGTGTACTGCTCAGCAGTTCGCTCCGTCCTTCTCTGTGGCTCTGAAACATGACCGATACGAGTTGAAGACATGAAAATGTTGACTGCTTTCGATCATAGGTGTCTACGACCTCTTTCTCACGTTAGATGGTATAGTAAGGTAGGTAATGTTGACGTTAGGCGTAGAGTGTTGGGCAAAGAGGGAAAATCAATCGAGGAGGCTATGAAGTTACATAGATTGAGATGGCTAGGTCACGTGTTGCGCATGCCTAACCACCGCCTCCCCCGACGGGCATTGCTAGCTGAGTAATATAGGTGCAGGTTGGAAAAGAGTAAGTGGTGGCCAAACAAAAACATAACATCAATCCATGAAATCGTTGACAGTTAAACTGAGTCAGGTAGGGAGGGGGATGCAGACTTCCGGGTTGGGGCCCACTAGACTGACTCTAAGAATCAATGGCTGGAGACAGTAGGTGACATGGCTCAAAATCGTTGTCAATGGCCAGCGCAGATGTATTCAGTCTCTATAATCTTTCATATTCCTTTCTACAGTTACCCATTCTGTTTCACCCTTATACGTGTCAAACTTTATTAATTCTCTTCACTCATCTTCCTGTCTGCACTGTGTGTGCTATTTGGAACGTGGCGGCTGGAACTGCTGCACTTCGGTGCCAAGTTCTATATTGAATCCAGACAGACAGATACAGCTGGAAAGCTCGACATTACTTGTAAAGATGGTACTGAAATAATGGTGACGACGATGATGATATGGCTGTCAGCTACGTATCTTAGCTTAGCTGAATACTTATACGGAGGTGTATGTTTTTGGAATTCTCTAACGCATTCGAATTCTGATTTTAACTTGAGTTCTACGTTATCAAGCGAAATGTACAATTTTCAGTAGAGTAACTTAATCAACCATGCATTAAAGGCTTTCAGCTTTATATTTTCAAACTCTGATTACAATTTTAGAGACTAACTAACTAACTAACTAACTAACTAACTAACTAACTAACTAACTAACTAACTAACTAACTAACTAACTAACTAACTAACTAACTAACTAACTAACTAACTAACTAACTAACTAACTAACTAACTAACTAACTAACTAACTAACTAACTAACTAACTAACTAACTAACTAACTAACTAACTAACTAACTAACTAACTAACTAACTAACTAACTAACTAACTAACTAACTAACTAACTAACTAACTAACTAACTAACTAACTAACTAACTAACTAACTAACTAACTAACTAACTAACTAACTAACTAACTAACTAACTAACTAACTAACTAACTAACTAACTAACTAACTAACTAACTAACTAACTAACTAACTAACTAACTAACTAACTAACTAACTAACTAACTAACTAACTAACTAACTAACTAACTAACTAACTAACTAACTAACTAACTAACTAACTAACTAACTAACTAACTAACTAACTAACTAACTAACTAACTAACTAACTAACTAACTAACTAACTAACTAACTAACTAACTAACTAACTAACTAACTAACTAACTAACTAACTAACTAACTAACTGATTAGTTTCTTATTGGAGTGCCTGAAACAGAGGGAACATTGGTTTCGCGTGTCTGCAGATTCCAAGGGACGAATGCTTTAGGCCATTCCCATACGACCTCTTTAAAGTGGTTTTCGCACTTGTATTTGTATGAAGATCTTACTTTGAACTGTCACAGTCAAAATGGACTTCTTCTTCTTCTTTAGCTGTCAGCAGCAGAAGTTCTCTCACAGACACCTCCAAAATAGTATAAACGACTTACTGTGACCATATTATTTTTATTACATTAGGTTTCGAATGGAAAACAGGTCTGGCCTCAACAACACATCTTGACTTTCTTTTATCCCCTGTTGTCTTCTTCAGCTGGTTAGCCACACGATTGACAAGGACAAGCCATCTCCACTTCGCACGATTTCTTCCATCTCTCCTGCCGCCCTGACAACCTAGTCGTTGCTTCCCATTGGCATTCTATCTCAGCGATGGCCTGCATTGCATGTGATATCATTCTATGGCCTCCTCAATGTATGCCCGATCAATCCATCTCCACTTTCTCCTACATATGCCTTTGTTGAGCAGTCGGTTCTCGCCTGTTGGTTCGTCCCCAGCAAAAGTTTCTTGTCGCTAGTTGCTTCTGGCTGGCTGGCCATTTGATCTTCAGTGTGGAGGTAGTGAAGTTGACAGCTGTTGATAAAAGTTTTCAATAGCCCGTTGGGAATCCTTCTTGTGACACTCTGGCCAATTTTCTGATATGTATGGAAAAAACTGGTTTTACATTCGTGTTGAAAATCCGAATATTGCTGTTTATGCTGAGTTTGTACAGAAGATTACCGAACTTACTGTGATAGCATCTGCCGTTTAGTCTAACTGCTATCTGAACAAGATTTCTGGCATGGTAGGACCTTCAAGAACACTAGTTTCAGTTAATGTAGTTCGATGGGTCATTAGAATATACAAGCATGACCAATAGATCAAGGTGATGGCTATCAGTTGGTCAGTAATGAAGGCATGTGGTGAGAGCAGCCTGCTAGCCAATTGGTTGACATTAATCTACGTCAATGTCTAGGTCACTAATATTGGCCGTGAGAAAATATGAACAAGACTGTTTCAACAAGCAATCACAGCAAACTTAAACGTGGGCAAATATGATTCGCAGATAGATGGCTCCACTTTCCGAGGAACTCGAAAACAACCAATCAGAAGGCTGCGTTTGTCTACTTGACTAGGCTATAATAATGTATGCGAAATTTATATAAATATGTGTTGATTTTCGTAATAAAACGATCTGTTGCCTGGCCCTTGTCTTCTGTTGTTACAGGCATTTTGAAATGGCCATTAGTTGAGTTTTAGCTCAATTTGCTTGACAACCAAAACTTTGTAAAGTGTGATTGTTGGACAGACTCACTTTTCAGATCACTCTCTTCTTTTATTTACAAGCTCTAAACTTGGGTTATGTTACTTTAATCAATGACATTTCGAGCACAAACTGTTGCTCATATTCACATCAAGTTACTCACACAACTTTCTCGTTCATTTATATACATGTGGAATAAAATCAGTGTGAGATAATGTACATTCAGAAATACTAATATGAGTGTTATTGATCAATTACAATCAGATGGGAATTAAGACGAGTGTTTTCATAGTCATAATAAGTTACTTGTTAGAATGTTGTGATGTGTTTGAATTGAAATAGAATTTTAAGATTATTTATTATCCTCCTCTGGTTTGACTGACTGGTGGTAATAATATCTTCCATATTTCTGGTATTTGCATTGAGTCATTCCTATTGCATGTGTTGGGTGTAGACTCGATGAACCAAGATTCAGTAATCAATCTCTCTCACTCTCCACCTGCATAGATTACTTCTTAGAATCTTAACCCTCTCCCACCATGCTATTGTGTGGTTTGTGTGTTAATGCATGTAATGCAATTGCTGAGCTTTTTTCTAAATTACTTATCTTCTTGGGGTCAACCATTCTTACCTTAGTTAAATTCTTATGTTCCGCCAATCTGATTACCCCCAATCTACTAGTTTGACCTATGTAGTTGACCTAACTCACGGTCATTGCAGGGTATTTTGTAAATTGTATTATTTTGTCTAGTTGGGTCAACAGGGTCCTTTAACCTAACCTCCGTAAGTGAGCTTGCAGGTTTGAATGCCACCCTAATTCCTGATTTATTAAGAATCCTCCTTAGGGTCTCAGATGTCCCCCTCGTGCTCATAATCATATCAAGTTACTCACACAACATTTTTTCCTTCATTTATATACATGTGTGGAATTGATGGATTTTTATAAAAAAAACACTGGTCTTATTTCCATCTGACTGTAATTGATCAGTGACACTCATATTATTATTATTTCTGAGTGTACACTATCTCATATTGATTTTTATTGCAATATCTAATCGATTCCACACATGTATATAAATGAACAACACTGTGTGATTTATCAAAATAAAATCTTATCCAAAATTGAGGAAGTTAGACTCTACCACAGTGCCCAAGTTTTATACTTATATCAATAATTACTTTAATCAATTTTTTGTCTGCATTTTATTCATAAAGAGATATTCCATGGAATTTTCATGAACCAGAAGAAGGAAAATATTTATTTGAAGATGAAATGGATATTGAACAATTTGTATATACAATACATGAAAATGGTTTATTGGCTATTGTCAGAATTGGACCGTATATCGGATCAGATTGGTCAATGGTAAAGAGTATATTTCTATGAGAAATTAAACATTTAAACTTTGCTTTTTATTTTCTAATCATTTTTTCGTGTAACTGCTTCGATTATTCTGAACTACTTAACAGGTTTTAAGTATTAGTGATTGGTAGTATTAGAGAGGTTATGAAAATAACCAACCAACCAATAACACCAACAGCAGCAACAACATCCAGCGCCAGTCACCATCAACGGGAGGGATTTGAGAGAGATTACTTCATTCACTTATCTAGCATTGAGTATTGTCTCAACTAAAGCCAGTCGGAACGGACGACAATGTCAAATCGAGCGAGAATCGGGAAGGCGAGAAACACACATTCATCAACCAACTGAAACCAATCTGGAAATCTTCGTCAATCAGCCAGCATCAACAACAAAATTCAGTCGGATTTTCAATACAAACAACGCCAAGTCAGTCAGTTCTTCTATACTGATTAGAAACTTGGCGGGCGGGTCACAAAGGATATTTCCAACAGCCTGTTGCAGATCTTTATCAACCAACAACTGTCTTTGCTAGATCTATACTGAAGATCAGATGGCCGGGCCGCAAACAATCACCAACGATGAGAAACTATGGAAAAAACAAACAAAACAAGAACCAACCAATCGCCAACCAACAAATGTGCAGCAGAAAGTGGATTGAGATGAATTGGACACTCGCTGAGGAGACCGCTGGGTGACATCGCGCACGCGCCAGGCCATTGCTCAAGTGGAACCAGGCCGAAAGGGAAGCGGGGAGTGGGACGTCAGTGTGAAGAGGAGTTGAAAGACTATGGACTGACATGGATGCAGGTGAAAAGTACAGCAGAAGACAGAAGCAAGTGGAGGTGTGGAGTTGAAGCCATATGTTCCACTAGGGACGCAAGGGAACAATAATAATATAATAATAGTATTAGAGAAGTGACTTTCACAGATAGAATATATCGTCTTATGTATGCCCAAACCAAGTTCACTTTTAACGGTTTGAGAAAATTTGAGCATTGAGTGGGTATATGATATTCATTATAATAAAGGTTTTCGTATTTCCCAATGAATGAAAAACAAAACGATATTGTCGTTTTTACTGACGTTTTGCTGCTTAATGCTGTTAATAGCTTTATCGAAGTATTATTAAACCGGAATTTACAAAACCTCAGCATATATATAACAAACAGTTAGGGGGTGAGAAAATAAACTTAGGTCAAGTTAAAGGGACATATTGAAAGTCAAAATAGCAATGAAGATCACTAAACCACATAACAGAGGTAATAAATAGTACGTCTGTTATGATATCAGAAAAAAGTTTACTAACTTGATCATCTTTCGTTAGTCTGGGGTCATTTTTGGTTGTCAAGTTGGTAGACTGGTAAAGATAACAAAACTAAGTGTAGATTGTTGGATTTAATCAGTGTGTAAAATTATAAAAGCAGTGTGTGTTTACATAGTGAACTTGCTTATCATACTCGTGTTGATTTTGTCACTTCGTTGAGGAGGGGAGGGAGGTGTTGTAACCAGGTCAGATTCTGTTTTAGTCCATCATTCCTGCTCAGACAATTTGGATTCCACTTGATATGAAGTGCTTCTGGTGATATCAGACGTTCTTTGTGATTTCTGAAATTTTTCTGGATGATGATTTCAATATTGCCAAAATCAATTTTGTTGCCTGATTCTACAGCGTGTAGGCCACCTATGGCTGATGATTTTTCAAGTTTTTCGGGTTCAACCGGATTCCTCTGTGGTTGGTGGAACAGATGCTCTACGGTGTTCATTTCTTCTGATTACCTTGATTTCTCGAGACGTTTGTCCGATGTATATCGCATCACATAACAAGCAAGTATTTTATTTTATAGACACAATTAGATAGAGAATCTTTAGGGATTAGGTCTTTTATATGGACAATATATCCTCTTAACTTGACCTAACTTGTCTATTTTCGCACCCCTTAACTCTTTGTTATATATATGCTGAGATTTTGTAAATTTCGGTTTAATATTAATACTTTGATAAGGCTATTGGCAGGAGCGTCAAATAGCGAAACGTCAGTAAAACCCACAATATCGTTTTGTTTTTCATTCATTCACTGGGAAATACAAAAGAGAACCTTTATTATAATGAATATACCGTCTTATGTGAAGATTTACTTGTAACTTGGTTAATATTAAGCTATACAAGTGGAACTGAATGAAATCTTATCCTGAATGCAAAACACTCTTCTAGTACTTTTCAGCTTACATAATGTTTAACGTGGATAAGATGTCCGACTGACTGCGTAACCGTTCACTCAAGACCTTCCTTACAACTAGGAGATAAAGCGATGGAAATCTGCAGAAATGAAGAGACTAGTCATCTTTGGTAACAGGCGCTTACTTTCAGCATCTCGTGTTAAGTATACAGGGAAGTCAGTCAGTGAGATTGTGAAGCTGTATCAATCAAAATGCCTACTTTATCGAGTAACCTTCGCTGACATATTATTGGTTCAGAAAAGAGTTGTTGGCGGGTGGTTGAATTAAAACATGTTTTTGATCACTGATTTAAGCTACATACGGAGGAGTTGATTAATTGGATAAAATCCTCGAATTGGTCGAGAAGAATTGATGACTGCTGATTGTAATAGTGGCATAGCTTAAAATCTTTTCCGGTGGTATAGTCTCTATGGTCTCCTGAATGCATTCAGTTCTCATTATTTATTATTCTTCTGTACCCTTCCTCTTACTGAAGTTTCTCTGAAAGCGTTTTTTTCATACATTTATTACCCTTGATGAATTTTAATAAAGCAACAACAACGGTGTGGTTTTTGCAGAATAATATGGTGCCATCTTTGTTTATTTCGTCAGCTTCTCTTCAGCCTAAATAAATAATCATTATTAAGTTCATGTACAGAGAAGTTTTAACATACTTGCGACATGATGTCAGTTGACAGGAGGTTCCGGAATTAGTGAACAGTGCACAGGAAATTACGCTTATTTAGATTTTGCATGTGGACAGACCTGGAGCAGGGTGAAAAAGTTGTCAGAAAACCGAAGGCAATGGAGGTGCGCAGCTGAAGCCCTATGTTCCTCTAGGAACTAAAGGATACAATAATAATAATAGATTTTGCACATTTTAACATAAAATGAACCCATCTGAATCCTTCATGAATGGTAGATTTGTGTCTCCTAGCAGCAACCATTGTTGTGACTGGTTTGTCTGTCTGTTTTCGATACAGAACTTTGCACATATTTGTGACAGTTCAAGTCTCCACACTCCCTCCATGTAGCACTCAAAGCAAGAGAAGAAAGTAGAAGAAATGCATAATAGAGATAGTAAACAGACGTGTGAGACAAAGGAATAGTAATAACGAAGAACAATATAGTTTTATTGGAAATCATAAGTCACAAGGAGTGAATACATTTGCACCAGCCGCTGAGAACGATTTTTAGCCATGTCACCAATTGTTTCCAGCCATTGGTGTTTACCTTCCTGAGGACCCCAGCCAGTCAGGAAGTCTACATCTTCCTACGTGACTAGCTTAAACTGACTGTTGTGGATTTCATTGACTGGTGCCATGTTTGGGTTTGATCGCCGCTAGCTCTTTTCCAGCATGACTCCATATCAGCTAACATTGTCCACTGTCGAGGAAGGCGATGACTAGGCATACGTGCGTAACACATGTCCTAACCATCTCAGTCGATGTAACTTCACAACCTCATCGATTGATTTCCCCTGCCTACCTAGAACTCAACGCCTAACCTCAATATTCATTACCTGATTATACCACTTCACACAGGAGATAGAGCGCAGGCACCTATGATCGAAGACAGCTAATCTTTTCATGTCTTCCACTCTCAATGACCAGACAGGCCTCACTCAGAGTAATAAAGGAGGGAGGAGCGGAGTGCTAAGCAGTACACTCGCCCTCTGGTTGATAGCCGGCCGGATATCATGTCTACTAAGCTAGAGACGGCGTAAACTAGAATATGTGAAACTAGCCCTCTGTATCTGTGCTGAGATTTCGGATACTGATAGTCAATTTTCATGTGTATTGATAATTTTTTACTGACTTGAAATCTGAACTTTCTGGTCACGTGATTTACGTTTAATCAGTTGGTAAATTTGTCACAGAGGAAACACCAAAAGTGCCAGATAATTCCTATAAGCCTGCTACTCAAGTGAATCAGCCAGCGATTAACAAACACATTATTACTGTAGGCCGAATTTACGAACTAATAAAACGTAAATTACATGTGACAAGAAAGTTCGAAATCCAAGTCAATAAAAAATGATCAATACGCATGTAAATCGACTACTCGTCACGACAGTGGTTGTTTCCAGGAGACACAATTCTATCATTCATGAAGGATTCAAATGAGTTTATCTGATGCTAAAATTTGCTCTGAAGATATTGTCTAGGAGCGGGATGACGTAAGCTTCGCAATTATACCAACTAGCATCTCAGAGAACACAACTAATTGCAAATCATCCACCTGAGCTAAAAATCCTCTACTATGACTAACCTTCTCCACAAAACCTGTGACTCATGTGAACTTGAAGGCCAGCTACCACTGCTGGCCTCATCAGTGTGCATCTATGAATTCACCTGCCCGTGTGGAGCCAGGTATGTCGGCCATACCCAGCGTTCGCTTTCTAAACGTATCACCGAACACTTACCAACATGGGTTTACAAAGGAGAAAATCGATGCTCCCGCACCTCCATCTTAGAACATCTGATAGAATCCGGACACCAAGCTACACCGCAAACAAACTTCAAAGTCGTCTACAGAGTGAAAAGTAGTCTTCCTAAAGGTGTTCGAATCAGACTTCTTCTTTAAACTGCAGAAGCAATGGCGATTCATTTGCTAAGTCCTGAACTCTGAGTACAGAATAAGTTCGTTCAATCACCACACTTGTAATGGACGTAATCTATCTTATTACCTGACAAGTAAATTCTACCTAATCTTTTTTTCTGTCTCTTTATTAGTATTATTTTGTCTTCTCAAGTGTAATACTTTACATTTTCAACTTTCCTG